CAATATCATTTTCCATTAGAGAAATGCAAATTAAAATAATGACACTATACCGCCACATACCTATTAATAATGATGAGGGCCAGAAAATAAGGAAGTATTAAAATACCCAGACCACACACACACACACACACACACAATGATGGGAGAATGTCAAGGGACACAGGAGTCAACTGAAAGAGCTCTCAGGAGCCAAAGATGGAACAACTTGAATAAGAAAATAAATAAAATAGAATTGGGCTAAAACCTAAAATATAAAATAAATATCTATGGGTTGGTACTGATAGAAATAAATGATTGAATGAATAAATTAACTAAGAATAGATAAATCTCCCATTCAGAAAAATCTCAAATAATTTATGTAGATACTCTGTCCTCAATGGTAGAATTTAACTCCCTGCTCCCGTGGGGGGGCATGTGGCTATGCTGAACATAACTTCCTTCTGAAGAGTACAGTATGGATGGAGAGAAAGCCTGGAGAAACATGACAAATGCTCTCAGTCAGCTGATGAAGATTAATATCAACAGTGATAAGTCATGTTGAATGAGAATGGCACATAACCACTGTGGTCTTCCTCTCAAAAACCCATAACCTAATCATAGGGGAAAAAAAGAACAAATTCCAGTTGAAAAACATTCTACAATATACCTGGTCAGTACTCCTCACAACTGTCAAGGTCTTTAAAGCAAGAGAAGTCTAAGAAACTGTCACAGTGAGTAGAGCCTAAGGAGATATAACAACTAAAGTTGAAGGTGGTATCCTGGATTGGAGATATGAATGTGGAAAATCCTATCAAGAATGTCCAACCCAGTATCTATGAGCCTAACAAGGGCCCAGACTGTGCTGTTGAAATAGTATTCCAGTTTTTATTTTAAAAAAATTTTTGGAGATACGTATGATTCCAGGGCTGGAAATATACAAGACAAGCCTGGAACATCTTGTCCTATTAGAAAATAAGGAAGCCATCAAGTTTATTCACCATGTCTAAAGGACTCGGAAGCCACACTGAAGAAGTTCTCATTGTTCCACGATGGAATAACTTGAGCTTCAGTATGGATAATTGTTAAAACATTCAATGAAAACCCAGCAAATATTTTTAACTTTATGAGTTTATAATGACATTTTTAGAAGTTGGATGGATGATAGAGAACTGATTGGTTATCTTGGAAAGAACAAAAGAAAAAGAAAGAAAGGGAGGGAGGAAGGAAAGAAAGAAAGAGAGAAAGAAAGAAAGATGTTTTCTGTCTTTCAGGCATGAAGTGTACCACGAACTCACCAAATAGTAGGTGAGTGAAACATCATAAAATTATTCGTGCTAATAGTTTTTAAAGAAATTTTAGAATTAAAATATTGCCATTTTCCAACATCCCAATGAATTAATGGATCTAAGAATTGAGCATCAGAGGACGTTATTAACACAAAAGGAGAGACAGCCTTGTCTCCTGATGGGAGAAGAACATAACATGTTTATAGTCTTACCGAAAGGATTAAACCGAAGTCTTATTAGGCCTTTGAATCCAGCTTCCAATTTGCGGGAATCGTGGAGGATAAAGGACGTTGAATGAGTCTGCAAAAGTAAAATCCAGGCAGTGGGAAATGCTACAGGTCAAGGGCACATATTCTTCAATAAAGACATTGTGAAGAAAATAAAGGGATAAAGAGAGAACCTGCAGATTTTTTGGAAGACTTGATAAAACAATTTAATTTAAAAATGAGCACAACTAAACTGTACTGTCTAAATATAGATGATAAAACTATAAAGGAAAGGGAAGTGATTGATTGAGGGTAGGAGAGAGGGTTATAACGGAGCCTGGGGATGGGCTTTCAGAGTGCCCAACAAAGTTCTGTTTTGTGAACTCAGCGGTCATTACAAAGGCGGACATGTTATAATAGCTAATTAAGCTATACTCTGGTGTGGTTTTCTGTGTTTATGCTTCATTTTACAATTTAAAGTCTTTAGTGAGAGAGAGAGGGAGAGAACGAAAGACTGTACCTCTGCTAAATTGAATGCCTGTTATGAGCCAGACGTGCGTTAGATGCTGGGAATCTATCAGTGAACAAAAAAGACAAAAAAAGTGCTCTCCTGGATCTTATAATCTAGTGGTAGGAGTCAAAGAAATAATCAAAATATATGCATATGTCTAGATGTAGATGCCATCTATGTAGCTACTTACATGCTATATAGAGGTACATATGTAGATATGTTTATGCCTTGCATATAGATAACATATATACTATGTATGCAGATCTGTATTTGCTATTGCAGTGAATGAATGAATCAGGAAAGGTACCAGGGAGTGCCATAAGAGGATGGGCATCCCGCTTCCCCAAGAACTATGTGTGGCCTCAAGTCTCAGGGATGGTCTCAGGGTGGTGAGCTGTGAGTGATGGTAGGGTCTTGTCAGATTCACCCAAACTTCCTGGACTCCCCTCTTGACTCCTGCCAGTGGAGAGTTGGGGGCCAAGAAGGGCCCTATCTGGTGGATGCTCCCTCCCGACTCCTGGATTCCCAACAAACATCCTTTATGTGCCTGTTTGTGCTGGACACCATGCTGGACACTGCAGGTACACAGTCCTGGTCCCTACCATCATAAAGCTCACGGTCTAACGGGGGGAAAGGCTATTAGCCGAACAGCTAGAATATGGTACAAAGACTCTTACGATAGGGCAAGTATAAGGTGGAAGAGGATGTGTAGGAGTGAGGTGAGGAAAACAGATCAAGACAGTCGTCCCAGAGGAGGTGACACTGACAACTCAACCCCCTCCTGAAGGACTTGCCAGGTCCGGGAGAGGACTGAGATGGAGGGGCGGGGAGACTGGAAAGTGAGTGTCTGGAGGTGAGGGGTTTGTAAGCCTTGCTGAGGAATTGTGACAGGTTGGCAGAGAAGATATTATCGAAGCTTTTCACTGAAGCAGTGATGAGGTCAAATTTGTGTCTAGAAGGATCACACTAACATGGAAAATGGACAGGTGGAAGGGCCTATGGTTGGGGAGACCAGTAGAAGGCAGGTGCAAAACTCTGGGGTGAGAAATGGTAGGGACAAGGTGGTGGTGGTGGTCATGGAGGTGGGGGGGACCAGAGAGGAAAAATTTGCCAGATAGTTAAGGCAGAGATGGACTGGGTTGTGGGGAATGGGAGACCGAGAGGAGCCCAGGGCGGACCTGAGGGTCTGGACTAGCACTGGGACAGAAAGGGTCACTGTGCCAAAGAGGAAGGGAGTATGGCACTTCTCGTGGCCCGGGCAGGCTCCCTTCCCAACGGCCTTGACCAGGGAGGTGAGCCAGCCCTGATGCCCGATTCCTGGCTTCAGGGGAAGAGACCTGGTTCCTTGGGCAGCAGCTGGTGGGCAGTAGTCTCTGACTCTGGGGTGCAAGCTGAAATACCAGCCAACATCCTGAGCTCACTTGCACAGCTGAAGAGAAAAAACTGACAATGAAGAAAACATCCCAAGCCGATCTCTGACCAGACAGGCCACATGTTGTGGGGACTGAGGGGCCCCTTTGCCCCAGACACAGCACAAGCTTTCATCAATGTGTGCTTGTTTCCTCTCCAGCTCATTTTGTGTCTGATTGATTTTTTGTAACTAAACAGATGGCAGGTGCCTTTCACTGACATTTCTTCCGTCATGGAATTTTTAGCAGGGGAGGCAGGCTCTCCTCATATGACCACAGCCGACTCTCAGCCCCCAAAGCAAAGTGTAATGGACCCTGGCCTGCATAGTGCTCGCTTGGCTCTTTGCTCTAATTTCCTTATGCTCGCAGATGTTCCTCTCCCAGAGGGGTAAACTGAGGAAAGAACAGATAATATCTTTTGTGATTATAGAACAGTGTAGCTCAGTCTACAAGCATGGTGATGACGGGGTGGAGGACAGACAGCAAGGAAGGTGGGGAAGTGGGAAGGAAAGAAGGCGAAAGAGAAAATATGCAAGAAAAGAGGGAGGCTAGGAAAAAAGAAAGAAAGAGGCCCTGGGTCTTACTACTTTCTGTGCATCTCACTAGCTGTATGTACATATTTGACCTCTCCGGAGCCTCGATTTTCTCATCTGTAAAATGGGAATAACAATCCCCATTTCCCAAGGTTGCTGTGAGAATTAAAAGAACCATATCCATTTTGATAAATTCTGGTTCCCTTCCCTTTCCTGAGCCATAGTATTTTCATCTGTTGAAGTGGCTAAGAATACCTACCTCTCAGGGTTGCTATGAGACTCAGATGTACTATTGTACTCATAGGCTCTTTGCAGATTCTGAAAGGTGGTATAAATATCATCTTTGGGTATGATCCGACTTTCTGTTTCCTACTGCACTCCAAGCTGGTAGAGGCTGTTCACTCATCCCCATTGATCCCCACCTCCCCAGCAAACACCCAGTTGTGATACCAACCCAGACTCTTGTTTTAAAGACAGACTATGGGGAGCAATTAGAGCTTAATGTCTGGAAATGATTTGGAGAGAGCTGTTTGCAAATCCCTTACCATTTCTTTCAGATTGATTTCAGAAATGAGAGGTTTCCTTTCCTCTTATGGACACCAACAATGCAAAGCAAATTCAGAACCCCTGGACGCCTAAGTAGTATTATAATTAGATTAAAAAACTACAACTGGTTGCTACAATGTTTATGTGTGCAGGAGATGATAGCTGAAGAGCTGCTGCAGAGATTCTTAGAGGAATTTTATAGGCAGCGCCAGCATCTCACATCTTATAATTAATACCCTTCCCATTGGTTTTCTGGATTTCACTGTGAATAGAGGAGAACTAATGTTTCTTTGAGTTCGTCTTACGTGCTAAGCATACTGCTTTATTACTTTAACCTCAGAGCCTCCTTAAAAAGTGGGCTTAATTATTCTGGTTTTGCAGACTAAAAATATGATACTCAGAAGAGTTAGTTACCTTGCCCAAGGCTGTGCCACTGGTTAGGTTTTGGAGCTATGGGTTCAGACACCCAGGGTTTTGTTCTCTCTTGCCACTCACTAACCCACATGCCCGTCTTTTACCTCCTGTCTTAGCTCCTTTAGGAGCTGTCACAAAATACTACGGACTGCGGGCTTATAAACAGCTCACACAGTTCTCACAGTTCTGGAGGCTGGAAGTCCAAGATCAAGACACTGGCACATTCAGTGTCTGGTGAGAGCCCCCTCTGCCTAGTTTGTACGTGTGTCCTCACGTGGAGGACGGGGCCAAGGAGCTCTCGGGGGGCCTCTTTTATGAGGGCATTGGCCCCATTCATGAGGGCTCCACCCTCATGACCTCATCACCTCCAGTGCCCCACCTCCAAATACCATCACATTGGGCATTACGATTCAAGATCCACATTTGGGGAAAAACAAGCCCTCAGTCCACAGCTCCTCCCTTTCCTTTGTTTCAGTGAACCCAGAAGGAAGTGCTGATCACTTAAAATGGTGTTGGGGCAGAGGTGGGTTCTGTGTGCCAATCCCACACACAGCCCACCAGCATACCAAAACACCCCACCAAAAGTCGACCCAGAAGCACAATAGCTAAATGGGCAACAAAGTGTCAGTTTTGTAAATTGCCAAGCAAATGCTTGCTTTGCCTGTGCAAAACTTATGGTAAAGGCTGGAATACAGAATGTGGTTGAAGTCAAGAGACCACATGGTGTCCATTCTGAATCTCCTGGCTCTCTACTTGTGTCCCCTGCTCCACCTTCCCATGCCAGTGTGGGATCTCACTGCTGTGATGCCGAAGAAGACCAGTGTGAGGCACACCCTCCCATCGCCAAAGGAACAAAGAAGATCTGGGCAGTTGCCTTTTGGTACTTCCTGGGGACACCTGAGCCTCGTTGCTCAGGAAGAGATGGCTAGTCTTCTTCTTACAGAGAAGGTCCTGGTTCTGGCTTCCCAACCATCTTAGTGGATCTACAAGGAGGGGAGGGCCAGCAGCAGAACTTCGCATAAACCTTGAACTTTAACACTGGCCCTGCCTTCCAAGAAGAGCTAGGTCCCCTGAACATCCGGGATAGGCTCTGATCAGGCCAATGGCAGACTCCTTCTAGAGGTTGGGGGCAGGTAGAGGGGCAGGAGGGTGGCCGGGAATCCCTTTCCCTATGGAGGCTGGTGAGGGGAGGAACAGCATCTTCTTTCCCCAAAAAAGTGTAAGTCAGTGAGTGTTTATTGAGTGTTGTCTGTGTGCTCAGCTCTATAGCAGGTGTCATGGAAGAATCCAGAGAAAAACTGAGCCTTGAAGGATAAATGAGACATTCCCCAGGAGAGAGCACAGGAGAAGAAGCATAGTCCTTAGGTCACATGCCTGAGTGTTGCCCATGGAGGGCGGAGAGGCTAGAGTGGGAGCCCAGAGCAGCCCCCACAGCCCTGCACATTGCCATGGAGGTCCAAAGACTATCCGAATGGCAGCAGGGGCCGCAGAAGAGTCTGAGGCTCCTGCTGAGCGACTCTCAACGTCGTCTTTGCCGGCTTTGCTTCTGCCTCACACTTTGAAACAAGGCATTCATATTCTTGGTGGCTGCCTCGCGGTGTCGAGATGCATCAGCCTCGAAATTGGCCCCTTTTCTCTGGGGACTGTCTGACAAAAGCGATCCTCCTCCATTTGCCTCCCCTGGGTGCCCCAGAATAATGGTGTGCTGTTCAGGAGTGTGTTTCCAGCCTGTTTGGGGGGAAGTTTCCCATCTGCCCAGAGCCCTTTGGGAACCCACTGCTACACAGACCTTCTGTTCTTATCTAGAACTCCTGCAGAGACTTCCTGTCAAGGTGATCTATAAAACCAAAACTGTGCAAGTATTTTTTTTTTAAAGGAAAATATAAAACCTTCAACAATAAAAGCTGGGGCTGTGGGGAGAGCGACTTGTCAGCCTTTGTGATGCTTGAGCATGCAGAGGGATTTGCCACTCTTGGTTACCCTCCCACCCCCCTTGCAAATGTCTTCCTCCTGGCTGTCCTGATGCCATGCACTCTTTCTCTTCTGCTCATTTGACTGCATTTCCTAAATTCCTTTTGCTGCCTTCTCTCCTTCCAGCCCATCAGCTTCTTCTGTAGCTTCATCTGTAGTGCTCTTACCTCTTACCATCCTTGGGCAAACTCCTCCCTTCTCAGATCTTCAACCGCCACCTGTTCACTCCAGACCCAGAATTCCACAACTGTCCCTCCAACTGTCTAGCCATCTGCATGTCTCCAGCTGGATGACCCACAAGCATCAGAAATTCAACTGGCCCCACATCAAATTCATCATCCTTATCCTCTATGGATCAGCTTCTCTTCCTGAATTTACCAGTTTAGATGGTAAAAGCATGAGTATGATCCTTAATGACACCACTCTGCCACACACCTCCGCACACATACAAAAACCACTTACTAGGATTATTGACATGTCTTTCCCCGAACCTCCCAGTTATCCGTGCTGCTACCTTATGTCCCTCCCTTGGTAACTCAGGCGCCAACTATCGAAACCTCTTCTAAACCCTTTCTCTTCTCTTCACTCCATCCTTCATCTCCCACCATGGTTGCCCTTCAGATACACAGATCCTACCCAGTCGTTCCTGATTAAACATCTGGAATATCTGTGCATCGCCTCCATGCAGAACTTTCTACACAGCATGTATGAGACCCTCTCACTCTCCAGCCCCACAACCTCACCACCTGGATTAGTGGAACTTCTAAACACTGGTCACTCTTACTCTCCTGCTCCTTACTTTTCCCTCCCTAAAACCCTCTCTTCAACTTCCAAGGCCTGACCCAAATGTCACTTCTTTTGTGAAGCCTCCCTTGGTTCCTTTTCCTGTTTTCTAAATGCTGGTTGCTCAAACCCCGTTATAGATCATAGCATATTATCCAATAGTTCATCGTGTATATGTCCATATTCTCCTCTAGATTACGATCTCCTAGAGGATGGGGAAGATCTGTCCTAGTGCCTACCGCTGTATCTGGGAAGAAGATTGTTGAATGAATAAGTAAATGACACCACAGAATCCAAAAAAAGATGACAGCACACGTGGGAGGTCTGTCACTCACCAAAATGATTAGAATGGCACAGTGGACTTTAAATCTTAGCTCTAACACTAACCAGCTCAGCGACCTCTGGGAAATTGCTTTTCTCTTAGCCTTAAATTTCACCTGAAAAAAGAGAGATCAAGAGACTTCATAAGTCTGTACCAGGGAATGGAAATCAGCTATTATGTAAAGAGCTTAGCATTTTGTCTAGCACAGAGTCAGAGCTCCGTGCATTACTGACACTAGTGTTATTAATAATAAATATATGATAATCCAAGCAGAATGATAGTAAGGCATTGTTCACTAAATGCATGTTGATTGAGCACCAACCAGTGGAAGATGCTAAAGCCAAATGGATGGACTTCACTGTAGAGAGGGAAGGGCCACTTCCATGAAGGTACCCTTCAATGTGCAACAGTTGGCTGGTTGAAAGAGAAGTAGAGAAATGAGACACGAATGGCTGGACAGAGAATAGAGAATGAGGGATGAATTCCCAAGGAGAAGCAATATGCCTGCTGAGAGTTTGGTTGGTAAGGAGAGGAAGCAGTCAAAAATGCCTCCAGAGATGGAGTTTGAGAGCACCAAGTTGCTGGAAACAGCCTGACACCCAGCAGAGGTGTCCCAACGGACAGGGCTACCATGGGACAGAGCTTTGGTGAGACCTTGAAGCTCAAGATGTATAGTTGGGAGTGATGTTGAAGCCTTGGGCAAGAATGAGTTCTCCTACCTACAACTCAAATTGTACCCTTACCCATGTCTCAAGTGGCACATAGTATATTCCCTGCAAACCTTGATAATCACTAACCAAACTGAGCAACTTGGAACAGGTGCCAAGTTCAGTTCTTGGCATCAGAGTAGACCAAGAGGGAAAGTGTTTCATAAAACACACCTCAAAGGGAAAGGGCATGTGGGTCCCTCCCACAGCCTGGGTACTGAGATAAAATTCCAGTGGTATGTTGCTTTGGCAACAGTTGCCTAGTGAGAAAGATGATGATAGAAGAAGCAAAAAAAAAAAAAAAAAAAGGCAGGAACAATAATCATGCCAAATATTTCATGGTCGTTTCAAAGTTTCTCGATAGAATATTCTAAGGATGGATGTGATAAAAATGTCTCCTGCTAATTTTTCTTGAACAAACAGAACTTTGGAGAATTATTGGGTGCCAGGGGTGGGGAAGGGTAGTTATGAATGTGATTACCAGTGTTGCCCAGTGAGTGAAGATCAGACAATTGATGCCATGTGACCCAACGTTCTGGGTTTCCCTGCAGGGTGATGCCAATGGCCATCCAGTTTTCCATCCTGATTATGCTGCACTCGGCTCTGGTCCTCATCACCACAGCAGAGGATTATAAGTGTTTGCCCCTCGTCCTCCGGAAAACTTGCTGTTGGATTAACGAGACCTATTTGGCCCGGAACGTCATCATCTTTGCATCCATCTTGATTAACTTCCTGGGCGCCATCTTGAATATCGTAAGCATTCCAAACCCACCAACCCTCTGGCTTCTCACGTGCAGGCAGGAATGTAGGGTTTATGGAGCCTGCAGCTTCTTTGATTGCCTTGGTACCACTTACCTTCAAGTGCCTGGTGCAGCCCCAACCTTAGGGATAGAGAACAGAGATGCAGCTACTATCAGAGCTGTGCATCTTACTGGTGGCAAATTGTCTTTTTCCCAGGGGGGGTGGTTATCTGCTCCAAAGGAGCGTAAACGCCCTAAAGTTTCTATGTTGTCAGTGCCCAACCAATTATAATCGTGAATCAAAGTTCCCTTTAATTAAGTACCTACCTGCTATGTGCCATGCACTGAAGGAGGAGCTGTACGTGTTTTTCTTAATAAATCCTCACATAAACCCCGTGAGGTAAGTCTCCTTATCCCCACTTTATGGCTAAGGAAACTGAGGCTCAGAGACATGAAATAACTTGCTAATAAGGTCTGTCTGACTCCACGACTCATGCTCATTCTCAAATGCTAAATTGTATCTCTGGGAGTGGGGGTGGGGTGGGGAGTGGAAATAAAAGAGCTGTCATTTCTTGAGCACCTACTATGTGCTACAGGTAGGTATTAACGTTCCCATGCAATGGGTAAGGAAACTGCACTTCAGGAAGCCTGAGATCTTGCCTGTGACTTTCTAAGGGTTCATATTGGATGTGACACATGGAACTTGGTTGATTTTCTAGCTGCCATATTTATCACTGTTTTTAATTTGGTGATCCATGTTTTAATGATTTCACTTTCTCTCTAGAATGGTAACATGATAGCGACAGCATTTTTTGTGTATATACAAACAGTCTGTGTTGTCCAAGGCTTAGTTAGTCTAGATTTTAGGAGTGATCTGTCTGATTCCAGGTTTTGAACTTGGCACATTGAGAGAGGCCAGTGGAGGCATCCATCTTGTGGCTGAGCCCATCATTGTGCCCTTTGGGCCTGAGGGAAGGTCTCCACGTGTTCAGGGACCCAAACTGGGGACTCCCACAGTTGTCAGCCTGTGAGTTGGAGGCTTACACTGCCTGAAATTCATTGTCCAGAATGGCCCAGTAATTACTTACAGTCTATGTTGCCCAAGCTCCGTGGTTGGCCTTGTAGGAAAGGATTCTATGGGATAAAGAAAAAGGAAAATCCTAATCTAATTAAAGTCATCATCTAACGAATATTTTATAGATTATTGCAATTGAAAGTGGAAGTGCTTAGGAGCATTGATCATGGTCTGCGGAGGCGTAGCCAGGATCTCAAGGCTTGAGGAATCAGGTATTTCTGGGGTGCAGGATCTGGAAATAAATTCAGTGATTCAGGTCAGTGTTACCTCTGGGCCACCCAGGCCAGAGTGGTGCAGCAGGAAGTTCAGAGGCTTTGGAGTCAGATAGACCTGCCATCAAATCTCAGCTGTACCGCTTGCCAGCTCGGTGAACCCAGACAAGTTACTTTACTTCTCGGAGTTTCATATTTTTCTATTGTAAAATGGGGATAAAAACAGTAGCTACATCACAAGGTGGTTGTGAGGCTTTTTTGTCCGAAGTGTCTGGCACAGAGGAGGCATTCAGCCAGTGGCCGCTACTCTTTCCCGAGCACCGCAAAAATCTGCCGCAGTTTCTGGCCTAGGGAATGCCCACCACCCCCCTTACCGGCCCCGCCTCATGCTAAGAGTCTTTCTGGAAAACGTGCCCCCCTCAGATCCCTAGAATCCTCCTAGCTGTTGATGAGGAGACAGGCTGCGAGCATCCCCCAGACCTTTTCTCCTGCCATCTGGCTCTCTTCAGAGCCCCACAGGCACTCTCCACCGACCCTACATGAAGGGGCCAGCAGAGCTGTCTTAACCTGGCTTTGGGGCTGGCTTGCAAATGCTTTTTCTGAGCCAGTACCTTCTTTAAAATGAAGGAGGAGATCCCAGCTGGCACCTCCATTCTGAAATGAAGCCCCCTATAGGGCCTGGTGTGCCCAGGCTCCTGCCGGAGCTCGAAGCTCGGCACACTGCTTTGTTCCCAGTGCTCACACTGACTTTGTTGTTCCTGTGTTGTTTTGTTTTGTTTTGTTTTTTGTCGTTGTTGTTGTTGTTGTTCTTCTTTTTTTTTAATCCGCAGCTGTGGTGTGATTTTGACAAGTCAATACCCTTGAAGAACCTGACTTTCAATTCCTCAGCTGTGTTTACAGATATCTGCTCCTACCCAGAGGTATTTATTCTCAAGCTCCCCTGGGCAAGACTTGGGCCTAGGTACCTCCACCAGCTCCACACAAGGCCTGCTTCCTTCTTCTGCCCCTCCTCCTCCTGCTCTCCTCTTCCTCCTCCCCCTTCTCTGCCTTTCCTTCTCTCCCCTGCCTCTTTCCCACCCTACTTCTAGCCTTTCCTGATTCTCCCTTCTTCTTCCTCCTCCTTTCTTCCTTCTTCACCTGTACCTCTATCCATTTTCCTCTTCCCCTCCCCCCCCTCCCCTATTCATTTCCCCTTCTCATCTCAAAATCCTAGAGCAGAATGTGCTGTTGTTCCCAATGTAGGGCAGAGTTATGGCTCAAATGGTATTTGCTGCCTTCAAGAAGAAGGGAAGGAAGGAAGAGAGGTAGGGGGAAGGGAGGGAGGAAGGAAGGAAGGAAGGGGAAAGGGAGGAGAGAAAAAAGGAAGGAAGGAAGGAACAAGGAAGGAAGGGAAGAAAGGGAGGAGAGAAAGAAAGAGGGAAGAAGAGAAGGGAGGGAAGAGAGGGAGGAAGGAAGGGAGGAGAGAAAGAAGGAAAGGGGGGAAGGAAAGGAAGGAAGGATGGATAAAGAGGGGAGGGAGGGAGGAAGAGAGGGAAGGAAGGAGAGAAGGGAGGGAAGGAGGAAGGGGGAGGGAGAGATAGAAGGAAGAAAGCTAATGAGTCACAAACACAGAAAACCACAACTAAACTTAAAGCAAAGAGCAACACCACAGGGTCAGGAGGTGTCCCAGCAGATACCCATCATCATTATGTAAGTCTCACCCTCCCTTGGCCACAGAGCCAGAGGTCTGGCCCTGGGCCTTGGGGTCAGCCTATGACACTGGACAAAGGACAGTCTTAGGCTGTGTTAGCCATAGCCCAGAACTTTACATTCAGGGGCAGAAGTTCTGGGTCAGGAGAGAGGACAGCTGGGATGTCCCAGCAGACCCCAGCCAACCTCACACCCCAAGGACCCAGGTAGACCCTTGTTCTCTAAGACCTCTCCACCATCTGGGTGGGGGAAAGCTCTGTGTTGTCTCACTGAGGCCCCAGAATCGTTGTGAGAAATGTTCTGAAAAGGAGAGAAAGCCTCCTGCCCTGTACAAGTACAGAGCATCTATTTGATGAGCATGGCATCATTCAATCCTCCAGCTGTAGGGGGCACAGGTGGTTGTTATCTCCATTTTCTAGATAATGTAACAGAGGCCCAGAGAGTAACTTGTTCAGTGCCACCCAGCACCACTCCTGCCTGCCTTCCATCCTCCCTCACGTCTTTCCTTCCTTCTTTCTTTCTGTCCTTCTCTTCTTAATTCAGTTCTCGAGACTTGGAACTGCAGTTCAAACCCTGTCTGGATTGTTCTTGACTTCGTGCTTCTGCATCCAGCCTCAGTCCTCCATCCCTAGGGGGGAAATAGGCTTTTCTTAAGGAAGTCCAGGGCAGGATGGGACTAGCTCTTGTTGGGGGACCTCCTCCCACCAAGTACCAAGAGAGCAGAGACTTCATGGACTCTGTGGGCCACCAGCTCCCTGAGAACGTCTCAGTTTGGGGGGCATGAGCAGTGTTCCAAGAGGCAGTGAGTTGGCCACCCATCAGCTGTGGAGAGTTAGGCAAAGCTGGATTTCACTCCCGGCTGAGCCCCTTCACCTGCTAGCAGTGGAATCGTGAGTCAGCTGTTCTTCTCTCTGAACCTGAGCTTCCTTGTCTGGAAAGTGGGAAAAAAAAAATCTTCTTCACACGGCTCTTGTGGAGTTAGGGAATATCATGTTGTCATGGTGCCTACCTAGATGAGTTAGCAGATGTGGAGCTCCAGTGTGTCATCTGACATGAAGTTGGTGTTCGTGAGCTATTCATCTGGGCTTCCACATCGCTCTAAAACAGTGCATACCCTTGACCCCAGACCTAAACTTCCAAACTCAGGACCACAGCACTCATGGGTTTGCCAGTCCTAAGAAAGTGGCTTTTGGATTACATATGATCTCTGTGCTTCGGTTTCCTTATCTATAAAACGAGGAGGAAACTAGTACCTTCCTCAAGGGCAGTTGTGAGGATTAAGGGCATTAATCCATGTAAAGTGTCCAGAGTAGCATCTAGCACAAAGTGTCTGCTCATTAAACATCAGGCATGATGTATTTCTGATTTCCTGTAAGAAGGTTTTGAGCCTGCACCACTGAGACACGTTTATCTCTAAGTTACATTCCTGTATCACTGTGCTACTGTATCATGTACATTATGGAACATATTCAAAATGTAGAAATGTTAAAAATGAGATAAATAAGAGTTTCGATACTTTCCTCCCACAAACAAAGGATCATCTTGCTCAGGGGTGAGCAAACTGTGGCCTCTAGCCAAATTCTACCTGCCACCTGTTTTGTAAGTAAAGTTTTATTGGGGCCTAGCCACACCCATTTAGTACCAATTGTGGCTAGTTTTTTTGGGTAAAGATTTATTTATTTAATTAGAGAGAGAGGGAGAGAGCACGCACGAGCGGGAGGAGGGGCAAGGCAGAGAGAGAGGGAGAGAGAGTCCTCAAGTAGACTCCATGCTGAGCGTGGAGCATAATGGGGACTCAATCCCAGAACCCCAAGATCATGACCTGAGCAAAATCAAGAGTCGGCGCTCAACCAGCTGAACCCCCCAGGTGCCCTGTCTATGGCTACTTTGATAGTACAATTGGCAGAGTTGAGTAGCTGCAAGAGATGGTGTGGGGCCCAGTGAGCCAAAATATTTACTATCTGACCCTTTACAGAGTTTGCCAACTCCTGGCATCCCCCCAGATGCAGGCATCCCACTGGCCTAAAAGATGGGGAT